CTAAACCACTTTAGAGCCTGGGGCCTCATTAAGCATATGTAACTCACATGTCTCTTCACCCTGGGAGCCATGAGAACTATTTTTCAAGTTGCATATAAGTCACACATAAAAAACAATAAAAAATAACAAAATTTTCAGTAAATTAGAAAGGATCATTTTGTTTTCGAAGTTTTTATTCTATTTTTGTAATAAAACATCATGATCCCAAGGAAAGAATTTTTTTTCCAGTGTGGCAGTCAATGTGTTAAAAGTGGTATTTATATATCTGTACCTTGCTTCATTCCAACAACATGTCTTTGGGGATTTTTTACATGGTAGAATATTAAGACCTACCTTTTTCTTTTCATTTGCTGCATAGCAGTCCACAGTGTGCTTATACCATAATTAATTCCCCTCCTTTTGGACATTTAGTTTGTTGTACATTTTTCTTAATTACAAGCAATTCCACAATGAACTCAGCAGTGTACATGTGCAAGCATGTGGCTTTTGCAGTGTGGTACCCAGAGCATCAGTATCGGCATCACCTGGGAACTTGGTAGAGATGCAAATTCTCATCCCTAACCCAGACCTACTGACTCAGAAACTCTGAGGGTGGGGCCAAGCAATCTGTAGTTTAACAAGCTCTCCATCGTGACGATGCATGATAAAATTTGAGAACCACTCACTGGCAGGTGCGTGTGTGTGTATATATATACACATGCATCCATACCTATACATATATAGTCAGTTCTGCTATAATGCAACATCTGCATTCTTAGACATCACTGTGCTATGCAAAAGTTATGTATTAGTAATAAAAGGGCTTATGGAAAAAATAGGGTTAGAGGCACAACAATCAAAAAGTCATTGCGGAGAGAGAGGAACACTCCTACACTGCTGGTGGGACTGCAAACTAGTTCAACCTCTGTGGAAAGCAATATGGAGATACCTTAAAGCGATACAAGTGAATCTACCATTTGATCCAGCAATCCCATTGCTGGGCATCTACCCAAAAGATCCAATGACACTCTACAAAAAAGACTCCTGCACTCGAATGTTTATAGCAGCACAATTCATAATTGCAAGGCTGTGGAAACAGCCCAAGTGCCCATCAATCCAAGAATGGATTAATAAAATGTGGTATATGTATACCATGGAGTACTATTCAGCTCTAAGAAACAATGGTGATATAGCACATCTTATATTTTCCTGGTTAGAGCTGGAACCCATACTACTAAGTGAAGTATCCCAAGAATGGAAAAACAAGCACCACATATACTCACCAGCAAACTGGTATTAACTGAGCAGCACCTAAGTGGACACATAGGTACTACAGTAATAGGGTATTGGGCAGGTGGGAGGGGGGAGGGGGGCGGGTTTATACATACATAATGAGTGAGATGTGCACCATCTGGGGGATGGTCATGCTGGAAACTCAGACTTTTGGGGGGAGGGGGGAAAGGGCATTTATCGAAACCTTAAAATCTGTACCCCCATAATATGCCAAAATAAACAAAACAAAACAAAACAAAAAACTCATCTGTGACACATAAAAACAAAAGCTGGGAATCTAATAAAAACCATAGCATACTTTTATACATGTTAAATGAGCAAATACAAAAATGCTACTGGCATTTTCTCTTGAAAAGACCTGAAGTTTGCTTGTGGAATATGGCGTTGGAGGGGTTACCCCTTGTGAGTTACTACCAAGTGGTGGAAGGAGGGTTATCTATCATTGGAAGGAAATTTTAACGCCAGATGTGGTGGGTGTGGCTCCTCACCCACATGGTGAACTGGGGCAGTTGGTCATGTTGAAGTATGTGTGTCTTTTGTGTTTTCCTATGTGGCTTAGTTCAGTTGAGTGCAGTTTTCTGCTTTCACCTAGCATTTCTCATGGATAAGCAAATGTGAAATTGGAGTTATGTCCAAATTTTTCCTTACTGTATCAATTGCATTGGAACAAATTTGCCTTTTCAATACAAGTGTTATAGCAGAACTGACTGTATATATGGAGGGATACTCTTACAAATATATTACACAAAAGGGACTTCATACACTGTACTGAATGCTTTTTTTCACTTAATGTCTCTTAGAGCTTTTTCCATATCTGCACATAGAGTTACTCATTTTTTTCAAAAATGGCATTTAAAGCATTAAGAGATGACTAAATTGATCTCCAAAATGCTTGCAACAATTTATACTCCCACCAACATGCTTCCTACACCCTGGCCAATATTACCTATTATCAAATTTATTAATTTTTGTCAACTCAGTAGTTAAATATCTTTTTTCTCCCTCTTCCCCCTCCTCTTTCCCTCTCTCTCCCCCTCCCCACCCCCACACATTTACACTGTGAGGAATGCCTCCCTAATAGAAAAAGGAGCTTGAAAAGTGTGAAACGGGTGGTGAGGTAGTGCTGAAATGGAAAAAAAAAAAAAAGGAAATAAAATGGATATGAAAGAAAACATAAGAAAAACCTATTCAAAAGGGAGAGAAAAGGAATTCCCTTTTCGCTTATTCTTTATTTCTACCTTTGCTAACTACAACTTATCCACTTCATGAGATAAGATATTGAATTGACCCTGTTGGGATTCCATCTATCACTCTAGCTGGTTGACATCTCCAAAAATGCAGCTTACACTGTTAATCTATTCACTTCAGCAAAACACACCTAAGGGCATCAGATTCTTCTGTTTATCAGTATTGGGTTCCATGGCCCCGACAAGCTGAGCAGATACAGCCTATCAGGGTAATGTGACAGCTTCAGCACTTGAGTCTGGGGCCTCTAACAGCAAAAGTGGCAGAAATAGAGGCTCAAGCAGGTGTCAGATGTTTTCCTGCAAAGAGGTTGGCAATGGACATAAATGCTTCCAGCTGGGCACATTACCAGGCAGGGGAGCCATAATGATTTAATAATTAAATCACATTGGTTTGTGATCATTGTTCTTATTAGGAAATATCATTGCTTTTTGATGATTTATTGTGTGAAACGGAATTTTCACATAAACACTGTGATTTGCATTTATATGTAATATTAATATATATTTGCATATATATATATATTCAAGTCAGAATGACTTACTAAAAGTAATCACCCAAAAAGAGGATGGAATATTGATGTAAAGATGCCAAAGATATTTAAGGAAATGGAGAAATTACGAAGATTAACATGACAACATTGGTCCTTCAAAATCATATTGACACATTTTCCTTTATGTGAAAACAGCAGGAAGAGAGAGAACTACTAACTGGATTTATCTCTGTTTTGCAATAGGGTTTTTGCACTTTGGAATCTCAAACTATGATAGTAGTAAAATATGAAGAATATATATGAGGGTTATATAGAATCAACGTTTTACGTCTAAATTAAGGACTTGCTTTCTTGCCCTCATGTCTCCTCGTAGTGTCCTGGTATAGAGGGCAAATAGAAAGTTAAGAGGGAGGAGGAACATTTTAACTTATAAAGGAGCTTTGAGTCTCATGGGGCCTAGAGCAATTGCTTTGGAGCAGTCAAGGATATTCCCGAAGACCTCTCTCTCTCTCTCTCTGTTTGCATTGTCAGCTGTGATGACTTGTAAGTGCACTTGCTAGGATCAACCCAGGGTACAAAATTTAGTGAGTTGCAAGGGCAAAACAAAGCATGTCTCCCAGTCATACTTTGTCACCAGGGCCAGCTACATAATTTGGGCGGCCCAGTACAAAATGAAAACGCAGGGCCCTTTGTTTTGAAAATAGGAAAAAGTGCCATTGAAAGTGGTCAAATATAAAACTTTGTCCTGTCTTCCATGGCCTTTCTCTTTTGACTTATCGTGGTACTTTTTATGTGCTATTCAACACTGTTATAACAAAAATTAAAAATGTAAATCATTAGCATGAATTTTATGGTTCATCTTTATACTGTGCAATGCCAGTTTTAAATGCAAATATAAGAATGTTTAACTTGTATGTGGAATCACCAAAAATACACAGTTTGTATTTTGTAGCTTATATGTGTGTATGTATTTTTTTCTTACCAGCATGGTGGAAATGCTGTACAAAACTAACTCAATTGTTTTTATTTCACTCCGTAATACACATGCATTCTACCAACAGTCTACTTTTGGCTTACTGATGTGTAAGGAAGGGCCGAAAGGAAAAGAAACTATGGGTCACCATATCTTTCCCTTTCCTTCTATGCCATCATTTTCAGTGTAAGTGGTTGGCTGATACAGGGAAATAACAGGAGGAAAAAGAGGATATGATAGAGTGGGTTCCTTGGTCATTCTTGTTTCTTAGAATGCCATTACCTTCTTTTAATAATTAAAGCAAATTCTGATTCAAATGGAAATAATGGCCTCTTGGGGCTGTCAGAGGCCTCCTCTTACTTAGTTCTAGACATAACATGCTTACCTTGTACTCCATGTCTCGCTGAACTCCCATGCATTGCGAGTCTGCCAGAATCCTGTGCTCCTGGGGCATCGTAAATGTTCAGTGTGAATGTGGCTCCCAGGAACCGCAGACACATATATTGTGCATGTCCCCTCTACTTATGCACATGCTCTGTTGTCCCCTCAGGCTCCACTTATGAAATATAAGCTCAAAGATAAAATTTTTAAGAATTTCAAGACAGTGACAGCAGAGCATTAAACCAAGTGCAGGACTCTCGTGTGTGTGGGGCCCATGTGACTGCACAGGTCACACACCCATGAGGCTGGCCCTTTCTGTATCAGGGAAGCTGCTGGACAGCCTGAAGCCTCATGCACATGCTATGTATGAAGTGGCCCAGTTAACAGCAGACTGGACACTGCCAATAGTGTATTTGTGCAAAATGGTTTCCTTGAAATGGTTTAATACACTTATTTCAAACTCAGTTGAATTAATATCATCCTTGAGATGGTTGGATCTCTTAAGGGCTCCAAGTTCTGCAAGGAGTGCCTTTCAGATGGGTCTTTGAAATCTCAAGGCTGTAGCTATAACCAGGTACTCATCATTGTATCGATATTTCTATATCTTTTAACATCTTTTGTTTGTTTTTCTCACAGGATTTCCAGCAGGAGAGCTCCAGAAGCCTTTCTTTTGGGGAACAGAATATCCTCGGTGGGTAAATTAGTAAAAAATCTAGTTGTTGACAAATTAGGAGGAAAGAACATGTTGCTTTGGCAAAACACAGAATATAAAGTTAAAGAAACAAATTCAGTGGTTGTTCAGCAGAAAGAGGGCATGGAACCCCGCATGGGTTGGCTCTACTCTTACCATTTTAGGGATTTGCTTTCTGATCCTTGTTACCAAGGTGTATGAATGGACAAGAAAGCGAACTTATACATAGGTGGTTTTCATTTTTATGTATTTACCAGCAATAGTTAAACCTTGAAGAATCGCTGGGATTTGAGTTGATGGTGATGGGTCTAAAACCATTCCAGGTAGAAGAAACAATGTGATAAAAGGAAGGAAAAGTGTTTACAGAATGACAGAGTCTAGTTTGGCTGGCCCTAGTGGTATATGAAAGGAAATAGTGGAAGAGAAGCCTGGAAAAGAAGGTTGAGGTTTGATATTGGAGGGCTCTGAATGCCAAGTAAGGAGCTTGGACACGAGTAGGCAATAGAAAACATTGTTTTTTTTTGTTTGTTTGTTTTTTTAGCAAGTAAATAAGTTAATCAAATTTGTCTTTAGAAATCTAATTTGCATAGCTAAAGAATAAGTCAAAATTGACAGTGTCTGGACTTTGAGATATCAGTTTAAAGGCCATTAATGCCAACATACTGTAACTTATGTAATTCAGAATTTCCATATATAGTAGAGATTCTGATAATATTCATTGTCAATAATATCACCACTTTCATTACATGCCTTTGCTTGCTCTGGCACTTTAACGAATGGAAAATTTAGTCTTGATTTTAGAAGGTGAGTCTCTGGTGTTTTGGTTTGGATATATGACGATTTAAATATGATTATTATAGGTTTAAAAGATATGGGATCCCATACATACATAAATAAGAGAAATATGGTTGCAATGTTTTGATTTCAGCTTCCCAAGAAGCAGACCCTGTGATAAGTATTGAAGTGCAAGTAGTTCTTTTGGGAGGTGGTACCAGGAAACACCAGCAGGGGAGTGGAAAAGTGAGACAGGGAAAGAAGCAAGCCAATAAATTGTGTCTTATGAGTCTTCTATGGCTGTCAAAATGAATTACCACAAAATCACTTAGTGGCTTAAAACTACATAAATTTATTAGCTTATAGTTCTGTAGATTAGAAATTCAACCTGGTTCTCACTGGGCTAAGATCAAGGTGTCAGCAGGGCTACATTTCTTTCTGGAAGCTCTAGGAAGAATCTATTTCCCTGCCTTTTCTAGCTTCTAGAAGGGGCCTACATTTCTTGACTCATGGCCCTCTTTCTCCTTCTTAAAACTTCCATAGTCACATCTCTTTGTGATTCTTATTTTCTACCTCTCTCTTTTACTTTTAAGAAGGCTTGTGATTATATTGGGCCTGCCCAGATAATCCAGGATAATCTCCCTGTTTTAAGGTCAGCTCATTAGCAACCTGAATTCCATCTGCAACCGTAAGTCCCTTTTGCTGTGTAACATAACATGTTCACAAGTTCCAGGGATTAGTACATACATGGACATCTTTTGAAGGCCATTATTCTACCTACCACATTTGTATTACAAGCCAGTTATCACCACGAGCAACTAGGGTTCTGTCTTGCTGGGGAACTGTAGAGCATGCTTCAGAGTGATACCACCTCAGAGTAAAGGGAGTTGGAGTATTTATCCTCCAACTCACTTTCCATCATTGATTGAGCTGTTATCCAGGGATATTAACTTCCTGGCAGTGCCCAGCCTAGATCAAGACAGCTCTAGTAGCTGAGAAAGTTTTTTTAGGCAACTAGTTTTAGGTGCTGACATTCGGAAGCTGTCAGATTGGTGTGCTCAAAAAAAAAAAAAAAAAGAAAAAAGACTGCTGAGGACACATGGCAGTCATCAATAAAACCTACTACAGAGAAGTACCATCGTAGAATAAATAAAAATTCTAGGTTTATATTTCACCAAATCCATTAATACCATCCCAGGCCTCAGCTGTCTAGTTTTCTTTAGTGTTTAGATATTTGGAATCAATTTTCCCTACATTTAAGGTTAGAAATTTATATACATTTTCCATGAAATTAAAGATTTAGGCTAAATATTTTCTAAGCTCCCTTTAAACTAAAAATAGTCCTAGAAATCTTTGATTCTGCTTATTGCTAACAATTTAACTGAGCTTCTATTGTTGTGGTTATATAGCTAGGGACTTGGAAATAGCCTGATTAGGTTTTGAAGTTATTGATTCAATGATTTGTTTACTGGGTTCAGGAGCACGATTTTCTGCCATAAAAGTCAAAATCATAGAAACCTAAGAATTAATGTTATTGTCTATTAGTTCTACCTTAGGCTGAGCCATAGTTGGTACTTAAGTGGGAGAGACATTGGGGGTTTTTTCCTCTAAAGAGTTCTATGTCCTCACTAAATCCATTCATTCTCTACTAAGATATTCACTCAATGAATAACTATTAAGTATCATTTGAATACTTGACATTGGAATTATGGAGATGCTGAAAAAATGGGAATCACGGTCCAGTGAGATAGTTTCCCATACATCCATCTATTCTGTATTAATAGCTTAATAGATACCCAAGAGAGTGGATATCCTTTCTGCTCACACTGGTCAGCTTAACCCTTACCTAAGTGTTGAGTCTAATTATGGGGACATGAACAAGCTGTATTATTTCCAGAGGAGAGAATCAGAATTGTAAATGGTGTAAAATAACATTTCCCAAAGTGTGTGTTCCATGACATAGTAATAGAGTTAAGTCCTCCTCTCCTTCCCTCTGTTTTGGAGAATCACAATACTTATCAGCATAGAAGTGCCCAAGAAGTTCTGTAAGAAAGAAACCTATTTAAATGTGTTTAACACAGAGATTCCCAGACTCCCCTTTTCCTTATGTTTTGGGAAATGCTGGTCTAGAATTCATGACTGAAGAATAAGAGTTGAAAGAACTTGAAAACAATTGAGGGGAAACCTCGTAAGTGTCTTCATATATTTGAAGGAGAGTTAAGGTAGCAGAACGATTTACTATATTTAGGGAGGTCAGCAGGTATTCAAATGTAGACTACTCTAGGCCTATAGATGGAAGACATAAGAAAGATCAGCATTAGGCAGAGCTGTTTTATTTAGACCCACACAAAGAGGGAATGGGTTACTTCAGAAGGGGGTGAGCTCCCAGTCATTGGAAATACCCAAGCAGAAGTCTTATGACCATTTGAATGGGTTTTTGTAGAGAGGAATCATGCCTCTAGTAGGAAGTTAAACTAGATAACTTTAAAGCCACTTGTAACTTGGAGATTTTTATGAATTTATGATTCAGGCATGGGGTAGTCCTTACTTGATAAGTGTGAAATCATGGTTAGTACAGACAGCAGTATAGTTGTTTTGTTGTTGACAACAAATCCTGTGTATGTTAAACCCATTGAGTAGTAAGAACAAAAGAGAAACTCAGTAGGTAATAAAATTGTTGTCTTCCCTGTTTTATGTTTGGAAGGCTAGAAACTGGAATGCAAGATGTATTCCAGTTTCTGGCCAGCCAGTCGCATTTTAAAAAGCTATGACATGCTAATTTAAAAAATGTCGATTGATAAAATGGAGAATGTGAATTTAATATTATGAAATACTATTTTCAGGCTGACTCATATAAAATTACTTTTTCTTTGTCTCTTGTCCAAAGGATTGTGATCCTGTAACTGAGAATTGAATCTTACAATGAGTCAATCATTTTGCAGCAGTCCCTCTTAAGGGACATTTATTGCAGAGCAGTTTCTAGAAACTTCCATTGTTCGTCCCTTCACTTCATCCAGTCAACAGCATTGACTGAGGGTTGCAGAGTCCTGAGTACTTAGTCTCAGGGCTGAGAGACCTGGAAAAACTAAATGTTGCAGGCTGCATAGTGGTAGCTACTGCTGCAAAAATTAACACTATGTAAAATTACAACTTCATCCCACACTGCTATGATAGCTCTATGATTGAAATGCATAATTTCACTCTTACTTCTTTAATGAAGGTTTGCAATGATGGAAAAACAGTAGGAAGCATTTTTTCAAATGCAAATTACCTTGCAGGAGAGAAATAACAAAGGAAAGAATTGCCACCAAGGGGAAAAATTAAATCTTACAGCACTTCCTTGGGTATAGTTGAGATAAACAATTAGCATGGTAAGGATCATTATGTCCTGTAATAACATGTTGCTTCAGAAATTTCCGTTCCTTCCAGTTATGGGTCCTATCTATTTGCTGGGTGACTTTGATGTTGCATGTCAGGAACCAACTGTGAAATATTTTTAGCATAATTATAATACAAATCACATGAAGAATCCTCACAATAAGGATTCTACATTGTGTATAATTTTCATCCACAGGTTAAATGACTAAAATGAGATACATATACTAGTGTTACTTGCATGAAATGGGGAAAGTTAACTAATCAATGAGTTAAATCATTGTTACTTTCTTGCTGTATGCTAGGTACAGAGAATGTAGCAGTGAGCAAGTAGATGAGGGTTTGACCTTACTGGAACTTTAAGTTGAGAGAGAAAATCCCAGACACATACATATGGAAACCCCATTAATGATTTCTTCATATATTATTAAATTGCTTTTTTTTTTCATTTATCTATTGCATTGTAACAAAGTACCACCAAAGCACCATTTATTGGCTCATGATTCTGCAATTTGGGCAGGACTGAGCTGAGACAGCTGGTCTCTGCTCTGTGTGGTGCTGGCTGGGGCAGCTTCACTAGGGCTGGAGGATCTAAAGTGACTTCACTCATGTGTCTGGTGTCCCAGTTAGGCTGGCTTTAATGATGGGGGCTAGCAAGGACCTCGCTTTCTACCTTTAGAATCTCTTGACTTTTCGGGTCTCTCACTTGCTTCACTTGGCTTCTTTCCCTCAAGCTAGGTAGTTGAACTTTACATTGCAGCTGACTTCCAAGAGGGCAGAAAATGGAAGTTATAAGGTCTTTTAAGGCAGAGGCCCAGAAGTCACACATAACCCCTTCCACTGCATTCTGTTGATCACAGCAAGTCCCAAGGCCAGTCCAGATTTAAGGAGAAGGAAATAGATTGCCTTTTGATGGAAGGAGGAGGCAGGTGCATTCAGGAGTGGGTAGAATTATTGGTGGTCACCTTTATAGATAATCTACCATGTTTTTTCACAGGTGAAGAGAAATAATGTAACACCTTTTCCAAATCTGGTTAAGACTTTATAATCTTTGCTATTCAGTTGTCATCTTGTCTAAAATAGAAACAGAGGAATGTGACTTCCTTTGAAAACAGAGTGATCCCTTTTAATCTCTGCTCTATTCTTTTTTTATAACTACATTTGAAAAACAATTTAACTTCTGAGATTATAGTGACTTTTCAACAAGTTTTCAGATAAAAATAAATGGCATATTTACTGACAGGATCTTTTCAAGCCCTGTTTTAGCTTGAAATTTATTATATTCATAAATATAATATGGAACTAGAACAGACATAGAATCATAGAAGTCTTAGGGCTGAAAGGGACTTTAGAAATCATCTCTTTCATATCCCTAATTTTAAAGAGTAGGACATCAAAGCCCATACATGGTCATAATGACAATGTGTTAAAATTTATATTTTCTTTGTCCATTTCAACTAGAAGTTGTATTTAGATTTTCCTTTACAGTTTTATGGGTATGGTTATTATATTGTTATTACCACGGTTACTAGAAAATAGATTATCTTGGTTTTCCATTGAAAAATGAAAAGATTATGCTCTGAGATTCATGCTTGTAATTTTCTCCAAATTATGTATTTATGCCATAGATCTCTGAGTTACGGTGCTATAGGAGTAATTGTTGGACATGAATTTACACATGGATTTGATAATAATGGTAAGTACTGGTTCATTTTATAAGCTGCTGCTTTTGTAATAAGGTTGACTATATGGATGTTAATTGTTGTGATTATCTTTGCATAGCAGTGCCATCATAGTTGAAGATTATCCAAAGCAATATGATTGCTGATTGAAAACTTTTCCCCATGTCTTGCTGTGATAGCTTGCAATAAATAAACAGTTGTTCCTGTTGGTGAGGGGGTAGAATGAAAAAAAGACCTTGTAATTTCAATGAAATAAGCTTCGCATTTAGATCAGGATTTCTGTAGCTGCCATGATAGTTACAGGAATTGCTTTATGGCTTCTCCCTTTGTCATTTCTTTATGGAAATGACATCTTGAGATGTCTCTGGAGGTGTGAGCTGTGCTCCAATGATGATTATACATGTTGGCGAATTAAGACTCATGAGTTAGGATTCTAGAGCTTGGCTGACTGGTTCCTTTTTATGATTTCAAGGACTATGCAGTGCTTAATCTAGATTTTTCTTTACACTGGCATATATTCAGATTTTTCTTTAAAAAAACTATGCTTTCCTAATAATGCATAATATAGAATATGCTGTGCATCCTGATAACATTTAAGCAGAAATGAAGAGCAGAATATGACATAAACTAAAGAAATTGTCACCTTTGTGAGTCCTCATCATTCTTAATCAGCACTCCCTTCTCCTTTAATTTTGGAGTATTATTGGAAAGCCACATGAAATCTCTGAAATTTATGGATTAGCAGCAAATTACTATCACTTTCACGAAATGATTTACAGGCAGACTCAACAACTGGGAAACATTATATAGAAGGGGACCTTCTTTTTTTCCATGCCTGTAGGGTTTCCAACATCCTTTCCTGGATGCCCACCTCAGGACCAGAGACCCTTTTGGCTTTTCTTCTGGATGATTCTTCCTGTGTTCCCACCAGCCCTTCCTAATCACCTATGTGTTTTGCTCCCCTGCTTTCTCCTTCCCTGTTAAAAGGTAGCTGCCTTGTAGTCATCTGACTCTCCAGGGCTAGGCTTTCTGCCTTTGGGTGTTTGGCTTATCTGAGAGGAGAGTCTTAGCTAAGAAGCAAAAGCTAGTGGTGTCTTGGTTCTGGGCCCTTCTTCCTAGGAAATTTAAATACAGTCTCCCCCCACCCCAGAAGTTTCTGGAAATCTTCTGGAGTCCCTCTTAAAGGAAAGAATCTAGTAATGGGAATTTCACTCTGTAACTAATACTTAGAAGAGTACATTGCACATATAAGTACATGCCCAGCAATTATTTAATGATTGGTTGGTTAGTGAGTGGAGGATAGTAACTCCATACTATCCCAGGGGGTGATATTAGTAGCATGTAGCCTTTCTAAAGAGCTCTGGATTCTTCCAATTAAAGACTTTGCTTAGGAGACTTTCTGGTAAGCTCTCTACATAATTAAATGTAAACGATGCTGTTGATTCCAATAGTAATCTTGAATATAGTTAGTCTAGATGCACTCTAAACTTTAGAGAAAATGAAGAGTGAGCACATAACAAGAAAGCATGTCTAACTAATCTTTTTCCCTATTATGTTTTGGAGATTTCCATTCTTGTTCCAAGTTTTCTTTTTGGAGCAACCTTCCTTGTCTAAGCTGGACAGATATCTCTTCCATCCACACTGATAGCTGTGGACTGATTCACAACAGAGGTTTTATGTGTTTTTCAGCTCCTGGCAACTTGGAGGAGACAGGTTTTTACAGGGCTGAGTCAGGGTCTATGTTCACACAGTGTGGATGACTCACCAGGGCTATTCCTATGGATCATTTGGAATTGCATTGGTAGTAATGCTCTGATTCCCTCCATGGACTTTCTGAATGAAGCCATTTCATTTCATGATCCAGGGAACATTTCAGGTCAGATCAGGTGAAAACACAGAATCCAAGATTGGATAAAACTGGTGCATGCCATAAATTGATGAATCTTATTTTAAAAATGCTCTTTGTTCCTTAGAAGGAAAGAACTTCTTCAATCCTCTTTCTCCTTTTCCCCCTTTTTACAATTAATCTGTGACATTGGAGAGAAGGCAGGAGCTGCTCTCAGGAAGAGTGTTCCCCGCTGTTGTGACTGCTTTATGAAGGCTTGTCGGGTGGGGGAAAGGAAAGATGAAGAATTTAGTTTCCATAAATAACACAAATGTCTTCTAACTTTCCTTTTTGCTAGGTAGAAAATATGATAAAAATGGAAACCTGGATCCTTGGTGGTCTGCCGACTCAGAAGAAAAGTTTAAAGAAAAAACAAAGTGCATGGTTAACCAGTATAGCAGCTATTATTGGAAGAAAGCTGGCTTAAATGTGAGTACAAGTGTGGTGAAGGGGGCACCTTGTGGGTTATTTTTCCTCATTTGGACATTAGCTTGCTTTAAACCAAGTGTGCTTCTGAGATCATCAGCATCTGCCTTCCCTGGGAACTTATAAGAAATGTAATTTCTTTTTTTTTTTTTTGAGGACAGAGTCTCGCTTTGTTGTCCAGGCTAGAGTGGAGTGCCGTGTGTCAGCCTAGCTCACAGCAACCTCAAACTCCTGGCTCAAGCAGTCCTCCTGCCTCAGCCTCCCGAGTAGCTGGGCTACAGGCATGCGCCACCAATGCCCGGCTAATTTTTTATATATAATCAGTTGGCCAATTAATTTCTTTGTATTTATAGTAGAGACGGGTCTCGCTCTTGCTCAGGCTGGTTTGAACTCCTGACCTTGAGCAATCCGCCTGCCTTGGCCTCCCAAGAGCTAGGATTACAGGCGTGAGCCACAGCGCCCGGCCAAGAAATGTAATTTCTTGAGTCCTACCCCAGACCTGCTGAATCAGAACCTCTGGGGTTGGGGCCTGGTAGTCAGGCAGTCTGTCTTTCACAAGTCCTCAGGTACCTCTGATACAAGCTGAAGTTTGAGAATCATGGGCCTAACCAGTAGTTTTCCTATATTTGGATTAATGTAGAAAATCCTGTAGTGTAGATAAACAATAACATTCTTATAGATCTTCTATACCCCATATATCATTAAAATATTTTTTTCTAAACTACTGCTTAGATTTAATTCACTGAAATAAAACCTCACTAATTTGATCTGGTGGGTCTGAGAATTGGTTAAGAGTTCTTAGTTATAGAAGTTTGAACAAAAGAAATGTCCTTTTTTTTCTTTTTGAGACAGAGTCTCACTCTGTAGCCCAGACTAGAGTGCCGTGGCATCAGCCTAGCTCACAGCAACCTCAAATTCCTGGGCTCAGGCGATCCTTCTGCCTTAGCTTCCCAAGTAGCTGGGACTACAGGCATGTGCCACCATGCCCAGCTAATTTTTTCTATATATTTTTAGTTGTCCAGCCAATTTCTTTCTATTTTTAGTAGAGATGGGGGTCTCGCTCTTGCTCGGGCTGGTCTCGAACTCCTGACCTTGAGCAATCCACCTGCCTCAGCCTCCCAGAGTGCTAGGATTACAGGCGTGAGCCACCGCACCTGGCCAGAAATGTCTTTTTTAAATGTTTGTTTTCTATTATTTATACATATATAATTTTCCATAAAGGCATACATGAAATTTTATACATGCTTTTGTCTATGTGAAATTTTGTTTCTTTTTTGTGTGTAACCTCCATCTCCTTCCCCTTTCTCTCTCATCACTCTTACCTTCCCTACCTGTAATCAGTCTTTTTTTTTTGAGACAGAGTCTTGCTTTGTTGCCCAGGCTAGAGTGAGTGCCGTGGCGTCAGCCTAGCTCACAGCACCCTCAAACTCCTGGGCTCAAGTGATCCTCCTGCCTCAGCCTCCCGAGTAGCTGGGACTACAGGCATGCGCCACCATGCCGGCTAATTTTTCTATATATATTAGTTGGCCAATTAATTTCTTTCTATTTCAAGTAGAGACAGGTATCGCTCTTGCTCAGGCTGGTTTCGAACTCCTGACCTTGAGCAATCCGCCCGTCTCGGCCTCCCAGAGAGCTAGGATTACAGGCGTGAGCCACCGCGCCTGGCCCCTGTAATCAGTCTTAATAACTCAGATACACTTTTCCCCATGCTCATGTAAAGATAGATACACACACCCCACAACTTTAGTTCATTATTTTCAATGGCTGCCTAAGAGTCCCTGGTGTGAATGTAATATAACTTACCTGACCTCTTTTTGAGGGGTTACACTTCCCAATTAAAATGCTGCTATAATAAATACCCTTATTATGTACATATTCTTTTTTCCCCTATAAGATAGATTCCTACTGTCACCAAAAAGTTATAACATTTCATATTTCCACCAGTGATAGATGAAAGCATTTATCTGAGTTATTTTCTTGTCAATTTATGAGAACCTTTTTAATATTACAGATGTTAAGATTTTGTCTATCATTGATATTATATATATTTTTTCCCAAATAAATTACTCATCCACTGGACTTTTTATATGGTATCTTTAGTCATATAACATTTAAACATTTTTTATATAGTCCAAGATACCTATCTCTCTTAAAAAATAGTTTCTGCATTTCTATTCTTGGTTAGAAGGTGGCAATATTTGTAACCCTAACAATATTTGTACCTCCATAATATGATGAAATAAATAAAAAAAATAAATTAAAAAAAATCAAACATCTGTATCATATGTGGAATCTCCTAGCTTTTCTGGGAAGGTTTTCATGGTTTTGTGATTTTACATTTAAATCTTCATGTAAAATTTATTTTTCTGTGGGGTTTAATATGAGATTTGGGTTTCTTCCAAAAGGATAGCCAGTTGATCCAGCATCATTCATTAAAATATATTTTTTCTCCCAGTCAAATTTTTATCATAAATTAGAATCTCATATACACTGAGAGTTAAATTTTGGAATTATATATTCTGCTGATTTCTATACCAACTACCTATTACTGTGGCTTTATGGATTGTTCTGATATCTATAATACAAATTCTCCCTCACTGTTCTTTTATGTACTTGGTCATTCTCAGGCATTTATACTTCTTTATACTCTCCAAGATCATTTTATCCGTTCTATCTCCTCCAAAGAAAATCCCACTGGGATTCTAATTTAAGCCATACTAAATGTATGGAATTGACATTTTACGACATGGTCTTATTGTCCAAGAACATGGTTTGCCTTTTAATCTTGTTCTTGTTTTGGGTTTTTGAATAAAGTTTTAGAGTTTTCTACATATAGTTTATCTGCTGTACATTGTTTTTACTTCTTTTCCTTATTTTTCTGGGCTGATCAGGTTAGTTTTTATGCTCTTTCCCCAGTATCACTTGTTTTCTTATACTTTTCCATTCCACTTCTTATTCCTGCTTTCATAATTATAAGACACAGATTTCACTCGTCGTATTTGACAATAAGATACAAACAAGAGAGAATTGTTGATAGGTTATGGATCTGCAGGAAGACCTTCCTCTAAAACACACATGAATACAGTATATGCTGCCAATTTATCTAGTCAAAAGCACAGCACCTAAGAGAAGCAAGGTGGCCACAGAACTGGAGTAGATCAGTATATCTTATATGGTTTTCCTAGGTTCCCTTGGCTCCTAACCAGACATGAACTCTGTCCTGATATCTTACTGGAGCTGGAAAAATACCTAAATACTTGCTATGCCTCAAGTCTATTATGATTGAAGTTTATTTCACCCTTCCAGATGAATTTAGGTAAAAAACCATATGCTTCTGTTAAAGGGAATGTTTATAAACACCGACTTGGTTCTCTTGGTTCTTAAATCATGCTCAGCACAAATGAGACCATTGCTCATTCAGGTGGAGAAACCAGAGTCAGTGTCCTTTAATGGTGTCTCTAGCTCCTTTACCAGTACCCTGGAAGGACATTTCTTTGCCCATATATTTTTAATACCTATAACTTTGACATGAGAAGACCTAAAATGGGTGCTTTTGTGTATCTGTATTCAATTCAGGTGTTTTCACACTGTGAAAACTCATCTGGAGTATATGTTGCTGCAAGAAAAGCGTGGCAGCAAGTTATGGTGAGGTGCACCTGTAGTCCCGGCTACTCGGGAGACTGAGGCAGGAGGATCCCTTGAGCCCAGGAGCCCAGGAATTTGAAGCTGTAGTGAGCTATGATCATGCACTGCACTCCAGCCTGGGTGGAAGAGCAAGATTATATCTCTAAATAAAAAAAGAAAGAAAGAAAAAGAAAGAAAAGCAGAGCACAGGAGTTCTGGAGTCAGATGGGGGTCCAAATCTTGGTTCAACCAATTACTAGTTTTATGAACTTGGGCAAGTTACTTAACATTTTTGAGTCTCAGTGTCTTCAACTGTGAAATGGGTAAATATTTCTGAATTCATTCGTTTGTTGTAAGAATTAAATGAGTGACGTAATATGAAGCACGTGTCAACGGAAAAAAGCCAAACTCTGTAAAATAATTTTAAAGAGATTTATTCTGAGCCAAATTTGAGGACTATGACCTAGAGCCACTCCCAAGAGGCCTTGGGCAAGTGGACTTGATGTGATTGGGTTACAGTTTGGTTTTTATACATTTCAGGGAGACGGGGGTTACAGGTAAAGTCTTCAGTCAATATGTGGGAGGCACACATTGGTTTGGCCCAAAAAGGCAGGACATTTTGAAGGGGGGGGGCTTACAGGTTATAGGTGGGTTTAAAGATGCTTTGGATTGTAATTGGCTAAAGACATGAAACTTTGTCTAAAGGCTTGGAATGTTTTAACATAAGGAGTTATTATCAGAGATAAGCCACCAGGACATAGATTTGTTGTGTAAATTGAGGACCCTAAGGGTTGTCTTGCATACCATTAGGCCTGTTAATGAGTTATAAAGGATGTCTCCAAGAAGGGAGGGGGGCATGATGAGGCATGTCTGACCTGCCTCCTCCTGGCAGACAATTTAGTTTTAGGACATTCCTTTGGCCATGAGGGGGTCCATTCGGTCAGCTGGTGGGGGGGGGGTGAGCCTTAAAATTTTATTTTAGTTCACACACGCAATGCCTAACACGCAGTAAGTGCTCAATAAAAGGTAGTTAATATTCCTTATCCTTTGTGATATATTCATAGGTACCCCATCCCAGGAAAAAAAGCCCAAAGACTTTGAGGCTGAAAATAACAAAAAACAATAGAAGGGCAGTTTTCTTGGAGGAAGAGAATTCGTATTTCTTGGTGGTTATTATACGTAGGCATGGGAGTTAGACTTTTCGCTTCATTGAAACAAATGTAATCCTCATACTGGTCCTGAGAGGTGTACAGATAACTGGGTGTATGCATTTTACATATGAGGAAACTGAAGTTCAAAGAGATTAAAACCCATGGTGGAGTCTAGATTAGAGTTTAGATCTGTATGACTCCAAAGTCCAAACACTTCCCCGCATAATGTGCTCTCAATCTTATTTTAAATTCATTTTATACCTGGGTGATGTGTGGGTGGACTTTTCTTCACCATCCATTTTGACTAAAATGTCAGATATTGAAACTTAATTCTGACAAATGTGTACCTTTGTCACAAGGACAATAGAAAGGGCATACCTGTCTCAGCACAAATGCACTCAACCATCAGAAAACAGCTTTAGTCTCATTCCCACATGACAGTGGGTAGCTTCCTTTGTGGATATAAAGGGCCATGCTTCATTTTTCTGGCTTCGTTTGTAGGGGCCAGTCCTCTGTGCCTGAAGCTTTCTTTGCAGGGAGTTGGAGGGAGCTCAGATGGAGAACCACAGAAACAGACTGTCAGCAGCTGTTGAATCTTGAGAGCCCAAACCTAGGGCCATGTGATCTACTGAGGGAGTCCAGAATGTGAGGAGCCAGGGGAGCAAGGCTACTCCAAAAGCCTCTAACTTAGATATAAAGCTTAGAGTCAAAAGGAAGGAGATTAAATTCAAGCATGAGTGGCTATAAACATAAGCATCAAGAGTGAACAGGAGTTGAGGTTGAGAAGGTAGCATATTATGAGACAGAGGCTCTGGAGACAGAAGACTGCTTGGGTTTGAAGCCCTGTGAAATGTGAGCAGTTTACTTAATCGCTCTGTTAAGAGCCCAAGAAGGGGTTCCTTAGGTCAATGATTTATGAAGGAAGTAGTTTGAGTAGAAACCTGTAAAGGAGTGCGGAAAACATATTCGTTTCAGGAGAAGTTTAGGCTTACCCTGATCCACCGAGATTTCTGGAATATGGATTGCACCACAGAAATTGTTCAACCCAGGGGCAAGGGACTGGGCTATTTCTAACTGCACATCAGTCAGTTACTGGAAGGTGGGATATAAACTCCCAGTAATCTCCAGGTGAGACTACTCCCAAAAGCTAAGGTTAGTCTTCCTGAGCTGTTAGCAGTTGCAGGAATGGGTGCACAGTCCTGGTAGACAAGGGGATCTGGCAGGGTCCTAACAATAACATCTGCTACACACACTCTGAGGTTTAGATCCTCATTTGTTAAACAAGGATGACAATAGTAGCACTCACCTCATGGGGCTGTAGAAAAGAAAAAAATGTATGTAAAGCAGGAATGGTATAATAACCTTTGGGGACCGAAGCTAGGAGAGTTCTGAGGGATTATAGTGAATAATATTTTCCAAAGATTTGTTTTTATTTCTTGGTATTGCTTGATACCTGGGTGTTTGAGCTTGCTTAAGAGTAAAGAGTTGGTAAGCTCCATGGCTTAAAAGTTTAGAGCAAGGTGTATTAGTTTCCTATTGTTGCTTTAACAAATCCCCATAAATTTAGTAGCTTAAAACAACACAAATTTATTATCGTATAGTTCTGTGTGTCAGAAGTCTGACACAGGTCTCAGTGGCCTAAAATCAAGGTGTCAGCAAGGCTGTGTTCCTCTGTAGAGACTCTAAGGGGAGAATCTGTTTCCTTGCCTTTTCTAGAGGCTGCCCACATTCCTTGGCTCATGATCCCATACTTCTTCAAAGCCACCAATGGCCAGTGGAGTCTTCTCACATTGCATCATTCTGACACTCACTCACCTGCTTCCCTTTTCTTCTTGGAAGGTCTCTTGCAATTATATTGGGTCCACCTGGATAAGCCAGGATAATGTGCCCATCTTAAGATCATTAACTTAATCACATCTTAAAAGTCCCCTTTGCCATTGTAAGGTAAAACATTCACAGGTTCCAGGCATTAGGATGTAGACATCCTTCAGAGGCCATTATTCTGTCTACTACACAGTGGTTGACAAACTTTTCTGTAAAGGGCCAAATAGTAAATAATTTAGGCTTTGTAAGGTATACGTTCTCGGTTGCAACTATTTAACCCTGCCATTGTAGCAAGAAATCAGCTATAGAAAATATATATTTAATATATGAATGGGCATGACTGTGTTCCAATAAAAGTTGATTTATGGACACTGAAATTTAAATTTCATATAATTTTCATGTGCCATAAGTATTATTATTTTGATTTTTTTCCCTTTAGTCATTGAAATATGTAAAATCTAATCTTGCAAGCTGTACAAAAATAAGTGGCAGGTTGGATTTGGCTTGTGGGCTATATTGGTTTAGAATATTTTTGTCCTAGCTCATTTAAGGTTTTAAGAAACAATCTTTGAATTTAGGGAAGAATTTCTTCACCATGCTTGGCTGGTTGTCATACATATTGCAAACCTTGACCTTGTGATCTGTGCTACTTCTGTTTGATTTTTGTTCCCCCAGGATAACTACCCTCTTTTTAATTTTTCCTGGAAATTGCTGAAGGTAAAATGATGATGGTCAGTCTTGATATTTTGTTCCTATGTAGATGGTAAATTTTTGGAAACACAGGCACAATGAGAAGAATATTCAAATTATGTGAGTTTATCAGTGAAGGTAACCTGTGTATTGACATTTCTATTTTTTTCCCACTAAACCAAAGTCACTCAGAATATTGTTAACATTTTATGGGAGCTGGCTAAATTGGTGAGCATAAAGAGGTATGTGAGAAAAAAATGTGTAGCATAATAAAATAGAAATTATTATATTCAGGAGCACTTTGCCAGGGTTAGTTTGCCATTTCACAAGTCATAACAATATGTTATGACTACCTTTGATTTATTGAATGTAATTATCTCTTTAAAATATGACACTGTTTTTTGCTATACTATGTATACCTCTTGCTGAATGATAGTTGACCATGAAACACTCTTTGTTCTTCTTTTTTCTTTTTGTTAGGTGAAGGGGAAGAGGACCCTGGGAGAAAATATTGCTGACAATGGAGGTCTGCGGGAAGCATTTAGGGTATGCACTGCTACACTTGCTGTGGTTTTAAATATTAAGCTATAAAGCACCATATGGGTGCACTTCAATTTATACCACAGACATGTTCTTGAGGAGTTAGCTATTATGGAATTTCTGTAAATAGAATTGTATTTCCCCATTGACTCTATTATACTCTATCATATAAATGGAACTACATTTCTTTCTTTTTTCTTTTTGGGGTATAAAGTCACCCTAAAGAATAATATTTGTTATTAAGAATCATGCATTTAAAGGATAGCTTTCAGACAACACATTCACAATCACATCAAAGCATGCTATAGAAAGCTCCTTGAGGCTAGGTTCATATGAGTTTTCCTTGAGTACAGCTCTCTCTATAGTCCTCCTTATAATTTTCTCTTAAAATATCAAACTTCTAAGTGATGACCAAAGGGTAGCGGTTCCCATCTACTGGAGCAGGTAAGAGTCCAAAATAACGTTTTCATCATCTGTTGGTCTGTGGTAAAACAAGAAACATAAGGATAATGTGGAAAGATTTTCATAAAGCTTAAATGCATTCAATTTAAAGACCAGACTGTTATTCTGAGGTTATATCTTTCCTATAGTCTTAAAATATACTTTATTTTATAAAATGATGGTGATAGAAGACGATAGTTTTTCCTCTTACTTGGAAAAATTTAAAAAATGGTAATATGTTGACCCCAAAATGTATTGCCATGGGGGCCTTGCCATTGTGTTGGATTTGTTTGTCCCCTGCTAGGAATAGAAAGAACAGCTTTGTTTTGAAAGAGTTATTTAACATCTGAACACTTTGGCCCAGCTGCATTGGTATCTATTGAGTGTAAGGTGTTTTTGCAAGTGCACCTGCCTCTCTGGTAAACAGTAGGACATGGGCTTACATTTCCAGGTGTTTGTTTTCTTAAAGGAAAACTTGACATGATGCATTTTGCATATGGCCTGAGTATTTATTTAATATCTCTGTGCTGGATAAGAAAAGAGAAAAACCACTATTGCAGAGGCTCATCTATTTTGCTTCTCTCACTAGGCTTACAGGAAATGGATAAATGACAGAAGGCAGGGAGTTGAGGAACCTCTCTTACCTGGCATCACATTCACCAACAATCAGCTCTTCTTCCTGAGTTATGCTCACGTGAGTAGACTGAGGAAGGGGCATCAAAGATAAAATGCAAGACTTTAGCTTGCTCCCTTGATCAGGTTTAATGGCATGACTTTGATTTCAGGCAAAATTTTATCTTGCTGATGATTTCTTCAGCATAAATTTCACCTTCTTAAAGTTCTATAGCGCATAAATAATTAACAGATTGAATCAAGGTTTATTGGTATTTTTATCAAGTGGGTTACCAGCCCCATGGTAACTCACTTGGGTACTTCAATATATCTTGACTTCTTAATGTGTTTAATATTATTTGTAACTGTTTCTAATAACTCATTATTTGGTTTTCATGGTCCTGCCCTTTCCTATAGTTCTCCTTCCCCTTTGCCTCATTTGCTGACTTTGACCACTCTCACCCTATGGGGGACCCTCAGGGATGTGTTTCCAACTGTTGTATGAATATGCAAAGACTACTAGAGCTGAAAAAACAACAACAAAGGCAAGGAGAGTCATGTCACTTTCTTGTGAGTTTAATAAGCTCTTGGAGCAGAAATTGAAAGAAAGATGTGCACTAAATAAAGCACAATTCTGAATTTCAGCCTCTGGCTAATGAGGCAAGTGCCAATTCTTCTTTGTTATTGGTTATTGCACTGGACTATGTCGGAAATATATAGGCAACATTTTCAAAGAAGTCAGGGATGGATCAATAAAGGTCTAATGTACGTCCTCACAGTGGGCAAATGTGTATGTATATGCTCAAAGCCAGACAAAAATTTTCATCAGTACAACCTTTTATTCCTAAGTCTTTGCATTCACTCCTCAGTAAGCTCATTCATTCACAAGTCTTCTACAATTGACCCTGAGTAAAGGATTCTCACCTACCTGAGGTCTTTTATTTCTTAAAGCTGACATGACAATACTAAATAACTTATTATTTAGTAACCTTATGCCAACAAAACTGTAGTTATCAACAAAATGCCTTTCATTTCTAGTTTCCTATTCCTATCAACATACTCCCATCTTTGGGTTTTCTTGGTTAGAAAGCCTGGGTTCTTAGGTCTTACTTCATTTATCTGTCCTCATTTTTATGTCATGTGTCCCAAAAGCTAGATGTTTCATCCTTTGAAATGCTTTGCAGATTCAACCTCTCCTTCTCCCCAGTTTTAGGCAGTTTGGGTTGCTAAAACACATATAATAATAACATTCATTGGGTGTCAGCTAAGTGGGAGCAGGGAGGAGGGGATGGGTATATTCATATCTCATGGGTGCAGTGCACACCATCTAGGGGATGGACACACTTGACACTCTGACTTGGGTGGGGCAAAGGCAATATTTGTAACCTAAACATTGGTACTCCCATAATATGCTGAAATAAAAAATCCACAAAGTACCATAGACTGAGTGGCTTATAAACAACAGAAATTTATTTCTCATAGTTCTGGAGGCTGGAAGTTTGAGATAAGGGTGCTAGCAGGGTCAGGTTCTGGCAAGGGCCTTCTTCTGGGTTGCATATAGACTGCTGACTTCTTGCTATGTCCTCATGTGGCAGAAAGAGCTAGCTAGCTGCCTGGTCTCTTCTTAGGAGGGCACTAATTCCATCCCAAAGGCCCCGCCTCCCAATACCATCACATGGGGATTAGGGTTTCAACATGAATTTTGGGGGAATGCAAACATTCAGATTATAGCATCCCATTATCCTACCTCATCATCCATAGGCTCAACCTTCTTATCTTCTACTCTGGATTATTCCAACAGCCTATGGCATGTTTTTTTGACTTTAGCATCTTTCACCACTATTTTACATGCTACTGAAATACATCACTTTCATTTCATTACCAACCTGTTAAAAGAACTACAGTGGATCCCAAATGCCTACCACACTGAGGCCAAACCCTTCCATCTGGCTTCTAAAATTCTCAATCTGATCCAACTCCACCCAACCCACTTTAAGTTACCACAGCACCATGGGATGAAAAAACTCACCTTTCACCAGACAGGTATCCTGACTTCCACCCCATGATGTCATGCCCATTACTGTCTTTGTAGCCTTGCTTCTTATTGTCCTTCTCTAATGTGATCCCCTTTCTTCTCTTGCCTTTTCAATCTTTACTTCATCTTTCAGGATCCATGTCGAGTTCCACCTTCTCCACGTCTTCCACAAACTCTTCCCCAAGGACTCTAGCCCTTATTATTTTATCTTCAGCTCCTTTTATATGTACCTCTGTTACCATGCAGTTGAATACTGAATTACTCTGAAAATGTTTGAGAATTTTAGTTTTACCTCCATAGCCAATCTTCTGAATCTTTACACTTATGTATCTCCATAGCACCCAGCAAAGATGTTGGGTATATTGAATACACTTGATATTTTTTTAGATTAATTGCTTGAAAGGAATAAGGCTAACACAGTTCAACTAAGGAGACTTACTTTTGAGTCAGTACTGGTCAGTCAGATATCTAAAATAAGTACATAAAAATAGTTAGAACTTTCTAGAGTTTGGGTTGGCAAACTAGGGCCAAATAATGGCCTGCTGCCTGTTTCAGAAAACAGCCTCACTCCTTTATTTATCCATTGTCTGTGGCTGGTTTTGTGCTACAATGCCAGAGTTGGATAGTTGAAACAGAGAGCTTATGGTTTTCAGATCCTAAAATATTTACTATCTCTCTACAGAAAAAGTTTGCTGACCCCTGCTCTAGGGGACAAAGTATAAGGGTCCATCAGTTCTTACTATTTATATCCTACTCACTAATGTCTTTTTGTGGATGAAATAAACTAATTGATAATGATGTTACAGTCATAATTTTGAGATGTCTCCAAATATAATACCAAACCATATCTGATATATTTTAAACTAATGCGATTTAGAGGAAAAAAGTAGAAAGCTATTTTATATCACTAACGAGAAATTTATCTTGGAGGTTTTCCCACTGATAGAATGAGATTTTCAATCTTTTGCACATTGGAGTAAGTCTCCTTATAGGGAGTAAAGTTATTTTGCCTCTTGGGAAGGTACTAGGAGAACAGTAACAACCATAATGTGTTTCCAGAAATCTCTTAAATGATATGTGAAACAAAGGCAATACTATATAATAATGTAAGAATATAAGAAGAAATAACATACAAAGAAATGAGGTAAAATCAAATGCCAGAAACAACTTCACATTATCTAGCTTCTGAGGAAATTAAGGAATCACATTACAAAAACATCTTCTAAGTCAAATTCAGAACCACAGTGACTGATGGTTTATCTTCATCAAAAGGCATAGCATCATATCACCTTTCCTGCCTCCTGTATCCCTGTGGTTGCTGCAGCCTGCCAATTTTTTTCTCAGATATTTTTCTCATCCTTCTACTTCTTTCCATTCCCATTGCTACTTATTTAGAGGACAGCCATTGAGAACCTTCCTAGTGCCTATAAATAGTCTTCTAACTAGTCTCTAATTTCTTCTTTCTATTATACATCCCTGCCAGATGAATATTTTAAAAATCTGGATTTAATCATTTTCCTGCTCTAGAACAATGTTCAAATATAGTTTAAACACTCTGGCCAGTTGCTCAGGGCTTCAGAAATCTGGCACCATCCTCCTCATCCTTCTGCTGCCTGCTATGCAGTACACACTCCAGCCAAGGTGAATGTCTTGCTTTCTTTCCCCTCAAACATGTCTTTGCTCCCATTTCCCCATCCATTTAGAATGTTTTCTGCTATAATCATGTGTCCTAGTTCTATTCATACTGCAAGATTATATTGTATCCCAAGACACATGGCAAGTCAGGCTTAAGTAGGTTATGCTGCAGAAACAAAGACCACAACAAAAGTTTCCTTCTTGTTCATGCTCTGTGTCCAGCATGGGTCAGCAGTGGGGCTCTGCTTGGAGTTTTGACTCAAAAGTTTGGGTTTGGGAATCTTTATCTTGATATGTGCTTCCATGGTCACCACAGGAGTAGAAAAGAAATATGAGGAAATGTGCGCTGGCCCTTAATAGAGCACCTTCAATTGTTCTTAAGGCTCTTAAAGGAAGTGACATATAGCATTTCCGCTCACATTGCATTGGCCAGAGCAAGTAAGATAGCTATGCCTAACTTCAAAGGAGGTGGAGGAGTGTGTTCCTAGTCCAGGCCCAGACTAGGGTGAGGCAAGCAAGGTACCCAGGGGGCAAAATACTAACTGCTCATGCCCATACTCGATAATGGGTGACTGATTTTGTTGATTTAAATGAGTATGGTTAAGTTTGATAGGAATCATTTCAAACATTAAATTCATTGCATGAATACACTGGTCGATTCCTGGGCACATATGCAATTCTCTTGATTTAAAGCACTTGTCTGGAAACCTTCCTAATTTCCTCAAATTGTGAAATTATTCACATTGATAAAAACCTTCTACTCTGGGGATCAGAATAATAGATGTTATTACTGATGAAGGTTTTATCTGATCTGCTAAAACTGTTTGTCATTCACTGATTCTAAAATTATTCTTCAGTATAATTTGGAGCAGTTAAGACAGCAGAGAATGTATTATCTGAATGGAAGCATAATTATTGGGATACTTTTCTCTTCTAGGTGAGGTGCAATTCCTACAGACCAGAAGCTGCCCGAGAACAAGTCCAAATTGGTGCTCACAGCCCTCCTCAGTTTAGGTAAATGGGCAAATGGGTGACACTAGTTTTTAACTGTGCATCTCCCCTCTTTCTCCCCAACTCAGCCATCCCAGGGATCTACCAGATAGGTGATCTGAACAAAAGCCTGTATTGTGAACTGTGTGATATCTATTTTGTAGACCAAAAAAAAAAAAAAAAAAAAAAAAAAAATTTAGCCAAACAGAAACTAAGCATCTTTTCTTCTTTCATTAGCAGTAAGCTGGTTTAGTCAGCATTTTCTCAACTAAATTTCTGCTGGTGGGGACTTGTGCCTACCCCTAGTCTAATGCCACATTGAGAGGTCCATGAGACTGTACAAGCCTCTAAACATAACTTGGAATCCAAATCATGGCTTTAGTGTTAGATTTCATTCATTATCTTTCAGCTTTTGAAAGGCAGCAATCCATGGGTGAGCACCATGTGTGCTCAGTAAACTGGAATATTTGATTAATCCAACTATCTACTTTTTTTGTCCAGGCCAAAAATGGTCTTTATTATCTTAGGAAAAAATGAGATCTGATGTACCCTGCCTTAAAACACCTAGAGCTCTGATTTATTCTGTGTTAAAGAATATCTTGTTTAATACCTCTTGTTCTTTTACACAATCAGCCAACAAACAAATGAATGCCCACTTTCTGAATAGCTCTGAACACAAAGGATATATGGTGATATTTAGCAATTATAATTTATATCTAGAGTTAGAGACTCTACATTTTGGCTTTTAGTTTGAATCATATTTTGAAACAATTGCTTATATATGAAGGGGAAAGGATTATGAATTATAGTCTAATTGTTGGAATGTGTAAAATATTAAATAAAAATAAAATTGAGGTTAATATTACTTATCCTGTACTAGGTTCCATAGTTTGAGACAAAATTTCTATAGTAGGGGACATATAAGTATAATGAAAAATCCAAGGAACCATAATAATTTATATTTATTCATTCTTTGCTTAGGTTATATTATATCCAGATATATTTATATTTAATGTTTAAATGAATCTATTAGCATATTGCAGGAAAGTCATCTAAAATTTCTCCTATATTTTAAAATCTTATTCCTAAAAACTTGCATTAGAAATGCTTCAGAAATTGACTATAAATTACCCACTAGCATAAAAATCTAATCACTGTGTTGGAAATTCTCCCCCACTGGGCTAAACTGTCATGAAGGCTGACAGTCTCTAATGGACTAAAATGTGTTCTCACTGACAAATGGTGCGGATGAAACCACACAGAAGATTAATTACTCAATAGATAAGTTTTTAGAAACTAATTTCCTTTTACTAACTAGTTGCCTGTAATGTTGGATTTTAGCTGATAATTTTACAGAGTGTGCTTACTAATTATCAGCTATATTCTATCTTTAACATTTGCCTAGGGTGAATCACACTATGAAATATGCATCCCTACCCATACATTCAGCTAAAACACAAGAGGTTATGAGGATTTTTTGGATACAGGCCATTACATTTATTCAAATGCCCGTAGGTAACAAAGTCATTAGGGAAGAAATAGTCAGTGACTGAAAATGCTGAGTCTCTTAGTCAACCCTTTGAACATGCAGTTGAGCAAGAAATAGATGAGGGGGCAGTATTTTTCCCTGGCTTGTTACTGGTGTCTGCAGTAACTGTAGATTTTGAGTGCAGCAGAAATCAAACAATGGAAATGCCACTTCCAAAAAGGCAGTTATAATCAAAGTGCTGAGTAAGAATCCAGTCTTTACTGCAGTTGGGAACTTACAAGAACACCAGATTCGGGAGCTAACTCCAGTGAAGGATTACTTATCCATAAGAACCATATACCATTTGTTAACTGATTGTTGCATTAACCAAATTCTAGGCAAATAGGCACCTCCAAACCCAATAGGAATTTAGAGAAAATGTTTTTGTAGATTGAATGAATTCTTTAAAAACTATTAGAGACATTATCTTGAGTGAAAGAAGTCAAAGACCAAACAGTACATACTATGGATTCCATTCACATGAAGTTCAAAAACAGGCAAACCTATGGTGATAGAGGTCAGAATAATAGTTATCTTTGGAGGTGCTATTGGTAGGGCACAGGAAGCAGCTTTTAGGGTGCTAGAAATATCTATGTCTTGATCTGTGTAGTAGTAGCATGGGCCTATACACATGAAAGAGCTGACAAGTTCTACATTTACTATTTGTGGTTTTTATGTCAGTTATACTTTCCATAGAGTTATTTTATTTATTGATTGATTGATTGATTGATTGATTGAGACAGAGTCTCACTCTGTTGTCCCGGCTAGAGTGCCATGGCGTCAGCCTAGCTCACAGCAACCTCAGGCTCCTGGGCTCAAGGAATCCTCCTGCCTCAGCCTCCTGAGTAGCTGGGACTACAGGCATGCGCCACCATGCCCGGCTCATTTTTTCTATATATATATTTTAGTTGGTCAATTAATTTCTTTCTATTTATAGTAGAGACGGGGTCTCGCTCTGGCTCAGGTTGGTTTCAAACTCCTGAGCTCAAACAATCTGCCCACCTCGGCCTCCCAGAGAGCTAGGATTACAGGCGTGAGCCACCGTGCCTGGCCTACATTTTTAAAAAGCTAGAAAAACTAAGTATTGGTGATGATACAGCTTTATGGGAATTTGAAGACTGTTGGAAGAGTAATAGGAACATTTGCCTGGCATTCAGGAGATGCTGGTTCTAGTCTCAGCTCTGTTAATTTTTTTTGGAAATGTGTTCAATCATTTTGGGCTTTAGTTGCCTCTACTGTAAGCAGATTAAATGAATGCCAGCATTTCTTCTAGCAATGTACTGCTACAATTTTATTCAGAACCTGTTAATGTATAAGAATTAAATGACATGTGCTTTGACATATCTTTTTTCAGGGTCAATGGTGCAATTAGTAACTTTGAAGAATTCCAGAAAGCTTTTAACTGTCCACCTAATTCCACGATGAACAGAGGCATGGACTCCTGCCGACTTTGGTAGCTGGGCCACTGGGTTATGCCATCCTGAGAGAGCTGCACAGTGTTAGCACACTGCCTACTGCTTTAGGTCTATATTCCTCTGAAGAATTTTATGCTTAATGCATTTTCATTATTTGGGTAGATGACCTGCTTGGTTCTAAACAGTATTTGCTCAATGTTGTAAGGCTTAAAAAAATGGAATACAAGAGATGAACCAAATATGTTTCTTTACAAAACCAAACCAATAAAAATAAATTCTTAGGCCGCTTTTGTTAAATTGCTATCTGTTGAATTGTTGCTATTGTCAATTTCAGTGTGTTAGCCACAGCTAAGTGGTACATACCATTTCAATCTATAGCTTTGCAGGGAGCCTAAGGAGAATGTATCCATAAAAAAGTTCAATCTATTAAACTTGTAACCATCAATGATGAAGGACATGTACATGAATACCTGGGAGGTCTTGCTACTCTAGAATGTGGTATGAGATTTTATGGACAGTCATTACATAGCATTTCTTTCTAAGGTAATTAAATTAGAAATATATTGGATCTCCATTTTATAATTTTTGATGAAGTTCTTGCCTTCAGCTTTGGAGTCTATTGGAATGAAAATGTGCCTCACAGCTTGCATCTGATATAGCTGATTGCCCTGTTCAAGTCAGCATGAACAAAGCTGGCAGAAAGGCTACTAGGTAAAGGATTTGAGCTTATTAAATAGAAAAAAAGGGGGGATATATTTTTAAGTCCCAGAAGAAATAAAAACCCCTAGTCACATAATAGCAGGGAAACTAGGAGATGAAATCTCCAAAATTTTATCTAGTCTGTATGACCTTCAGTGATTGTCTGTCTGCTGACCACTTTTCTTTAGCCCAATTCCTGTTTGTTTCATTACTCTCATATGTATACACTTTCCTGGTTCTGAAATGAGCAGACATTGAGAAAAGGATTTTTTGATTCCAAATCAGGAACTTATGGCTTTCATTTCCCTTTAATGCAAAGGAACAAACACCACATTGAGGAGGGAGCAAAGTGCCCTTGTGTTTCAGCTTAGTTAATGTTATCTCTCTTTAAAAAAAATCGTTTAGAAATATTTCTTGATTGAAGATATTTTAAAATATATTAATTCAATTTAATATTCCCTGAAAAGTCCAAAGAAACATAATTTTTATTCTTCAAGTCTTCTAAAGAGTCTGTAAGAAAGAGCAGTATTATGTTTTTGATCCTTAGAGCATTATCCTTTTAGGTGAGCTCCTCTATTTCTTATTAGTGTGTGTACGTGTAGGATAAAATTGTAATGGCCTTAAAGAGGTTACCTGGCATTTCCTGTTTCTTAAAATAGTCATCCTCTACCCCCTTCACATTATTCATTGTATATGAGGTGCTGGGTTAAGTGGGCCAATAGGAAAATCTGAAAAGCAAGATGACAAATTCAGATGAACTACAGGAGGCCATTTTACTCCCTTTGATTTGTCATTTTTTTTTTTTTTTAAATGTAAGTGTGTGCCATGTCCTTTTGTAACCACAGGAACTTTTGAAGGGAGAAAAATGGAGGGGCACCATCAAGAGGGAAACAATTATACTGCATTAGCTAGAGGAGAGTGATTTTCCCCTTGACTTCCTCCTCTCTGAATGAATAAACTTCTGAAGGGCAGCTACCTTTTCCTCCTCTTAACCATGGCTTAATGTGACCTTAGTTTGTATGTCTAAAAACAAGCCATATTAGGTTAGGGGTGCTGGAAATGTATGTCCCTTTTCTCTGATTTGGTTTAGACATACAAGATACTTCTTGTTTTATTCTTGCACTTGGGCACTTAAAATCAGCTGAGGTTTGTCATGCTTATATGAATAGTGTTTTCTTTCTAGACTTCTTTCAAAAACTCCGAATAAACACATTCCTGCAGGTCAGAGAAAGTGTTTGATAAAAACAGAATTATGGCTTTGGAAATGGAAATTAAGTCACTTGTTAGTTTAGAAAAACCGGTTGATGATCAGTTGGGGCCCTCATAGTTTCTAGATGACAGGGTTACCTTGTCCTGATTAACTTTACTCAATGTAACTCAGTTATACTGAAAGTTGTAGATAGGGTGGCCACTATTAAACAAAACAAAACAAAAACGAAAACTAAAATAAAAGCAGCAATACCAAATCATCACTACTAATTAGAACAATTTTCTAGAAGGATTGGATTTCCAAATATATGTTTGTGTTTAACTCTTCCAATTACAGTCTCATTGTCCTGTCTCCTGAATACCGATTGTTCAAAGAAACAGACACTAATTAAGTTGTAGAAAGAAGACAGTAAAATGCAACTGGAAGGGAAGGAAAAAAAAAACTAAGAAGAAGCTGGCCTAAGGATGTGGCTCTGAAGAGAAGACAGGATTTTGGCAATCCTTGCTAAGTGCATCCACTGGAGTGAAGCCATAAAGTTTTACAAAAATAATTATGGTAAATTAAAAGGAAATTAGATATTGGATCTCAGACTATGGCTGCCATAACGCACTTCTCTGATTCAGATACCAGATGCTATGCCAGTGAACTATTGTCTGGGCATTGGAAAGAGGTTTTTTTTTTTTTTTTATGAAATTCTCCTGATTTAGTCAAAATTTTTTCTGGCAATAAAGTGGTCCTATTTGGGCTCATCACCATTGCCCAAAGCTTGTTAAGGTTTTCACCAAGTACTCAACACTGGCCTCCTATTCCCATTTATTCCTTTTTATGAGATGGACTTGGACATGACTAGTGCAAAGTCAGGATTCATAAATTATCCTGAAGTTTATTTAGTGCCTTGCCTCAATGGAGCTTAAAGCATAGCACATAAATTTTTATCTTATTTAGCTCTGGAACATCACTAAGAAGCAACTAGGAACTATGGCTTGCCAGACAGGTTATGTTCATGCCAGAAGAGCTGGAGAGGTTTGAAATCTCTTGTCAAGTGTCCCAGAGTCAGGAAAAGCAGAGTCTTTGTGCTTTGTGCTACAGACCTTTGGAATAACCTTCGTCCCTTAGATTACCCCATTTCTAAGTACATGTATTCAATCAGTATTTCTATAATCACTTAGAATTTTATAGGCTTTCTCCTTGAAACATTTAACATAATGCCTCAGTTGCATATAATTTAATATATGGAAGAATATATGATTGTTTCATACAACAACATTCTCATCACCAGTGGCAGTGCCTCACTGGTTTGAAGAAAGATATTCTTGGACTATGCATTTTATATCAAAATGGTCATTGTGAAACTAGTTTGGTTGTATTTTCTTTCTCTACTTGTGAAACAATGTGAACAATCATTTTAAGGGCAATAAAAAGTTGGTTGAAGATTTTCTGTTTCTTTTTAAAAAATATTATAATCTATTACATCTATTAACATATTCAGTTCTGTTTTACACAATGATATTTGCCAAAAAGTATACAAAGCACTGTAGTATACTAGCTTTCTTGGCTTAGGAAAGTACGATTTGAATGCAATAACTTTCTCCTTAGGCAACGAGAGATTTGCAAGGTGGTCATTATATTTTCTTTCAGGATGTAAGTCAGAAGATGTGGTTTATTGCCTTTTCAATAATATTCCTATTGAGGAAAAGAGATGCCACTGAGGAAATTATCAACCATGATAGGGCTGGTCTTATAAAAGTGACAATGGACATTACAATTACTATCAAATCCCAGAATCTCTATGTGCTATTACCATTCTTTAACAATCTAGTAAATTTATAGTCATTCATTCAGCACACTAACTGAGCACCCATTATATTTAAATCACTAACTATCTGTATATAGGTGGATAATATACACACTCTGGGCTTCAATGAATAGTCTGGTCTAACATGGGAGATGGATATGTAAAGTGTTAGAATTACCTTACTGAGTGAGGTATGATAATATATAAATAGGTTGGTTTGGAACACAGAAAAGAAATCATTCAACTTTCCTCTGGTGGATACTGTCAGTGCTTCCTCTACCCAGATCCCAGCAAAACCCTTTTATAGGTACCCTAACCTTACCTTCTGTGTGCTTTTGTTTCTAATTGGCTGTGGCTATCAAGGATGGCTGTTGTCATGCTACTGGAACCTCTTTGACCAATGTACTTTCAGAGAACTGGAAGTGCCTGGTGACCCTCAGACAATGACTAAGTGCTAAAGGACTCTGAAAGCCTGACTACCTTGCCTGAGTCCAGACAGATCCAGAGGCATACCATAGAATTTAGACTACTTTGTGGAGGTTTTTGAAGTTAGGCCAGCATTGCAAGTTGAGTCCCCTGTTAATGATTGGGGCCTTTATGGCACCAATATGTTCTAAGATGTGGAAAAGTGCTGGTTTGGAGGATCCTAGGTGAGCCCATTTGTGTAGTAGGTCACATTGTCATGTATAGGAAGTAGACATCAGATGATAGAGAGTTAGTGCATGATAAGAGGCTGAGTGTGACCTTGTTGGTGCCCCTTTGGGAGAGTTTACTCTAGTTTCTGAGCTGATCCATGAAATAAGAACTTTTGTCTGTAGGATAGTGGCAGAAGGAAAGATGCATATAAATGACAGAGTGATCTCTAGAGTGTGGACAGGAAGTAGGGGCTTTGGAGGAATGGAGGCAAGAAGCCTAGAATCTCTCTTGCTATTGTCTATGTAATAGATTTTATGAGAACCAAGAGATTCTGCTTAGATTTTTAGGTATATATCTAAGTGAACCTGATCAAAATTTGAAAGCAGCCAATTAGGTTTAAGGTATTTGCATGTCCCTCAGTTCACTTGCTTTAAGATCACACAGGCCATAAAACAGATAAATTCAGTGGCTTAACCCAATTTAAGTTTATTTCTTGTTTTCATTAGATATATAATGGGTATTAATGATCAGTGAGTTTCTCTCCTCTAACTGGTAACTTGGAGATTCAGGCTGCTTCCATATTGCGAGTCTGCCATTTTCAACACATGATTGAATACATGTTCATCTGCAAGAAGCTAATGGAAGGGGAGAGGCCACGGAATATGCTGAGTGGAAGATTGGGCTTGTCAGTGGAAGGTGTATATATTACTTCTGTTCCTGTTCCATTGGCTAGAGCTCAGTCATGTGGCCAAATCTAACTGAAGGGGAGGCTGGGACATGTAGTCTAGCTGTGTGCCCATAAAGAAGAGGAAATGGGTTTGGCTCTCAGCTAGCATTCTCAGCCATGCCTTCTAAAGTGAAATATGGGGCAGTAACTTTGAGCTCTTCTGAATTTCGAAAATTGCTTTTGAACACAGCACAGTGAAAATTGAAAATGCCATTGGTAGCCTGCAGTTTATTCCATAGGAGTCTTTTTAATTAACAGTTTAATTGGATAATTTAATCCCCTTTAGAATTAGAGATATGAATATGAAAATGAGATACTCCCTGTGATCTGACAATACCTTGCTTTAATAAACACACCAAAGTGAGCCCGGAAATGAGACTACAAAAACATTACTATGATTTGTGATCAGTGAAAGAAAACCTGATCTATAATTTTAATTATTCCTAAATGGTTTAGATACATGTTTCATTTGAATGTGTATTTTGTTTTGTTAATTGGCTCAATTAGGAAGGTAGCTGAATATAAGAATCTGTGGCTAAGCCATGGTTCACAATATGTTCTTAGCTTTTAAAATATAGCTCATTGTGAAAGTAAATAAAGTAGCCCATGAAATAAAATATTGTTGCAAGTACAACATAGTCTAGTATTTTTAGAGAACTTATATAAAACTGTTTTTACTTCTCCATTGATTATGAGATGACAAGTGCTACTCACCTTATTCTTGTTTTATGCTTTCTCCACTTGAATGAGAGATTGAAGCTCAGAATCCAGGAAACAAAGATGAATGTCTATGCCACAAAAGTACTGTTCTAATTAATTCTGGCTTTAGACTCCACTTTACAGGGAAAGGAAAAACTAAATGATTAAGTTGAAATCCCCAGTGGAAACGCTACTGAAAATATTAAGTATCATTTATGTTGCCAGTTTGACTGAAACGTCAAAAAGAGAAGCATAGTTTCCCATGTAGAAGTACACTGTGTTAATCTCCAGATTGACTTAGAAGTCAGTAAAATCAGTACCCAGGTAACAGACAACCCTCCCCCCAACCCCTGTGACATGCGATGAATGGCAAAAATAGTCCAAAGTATATTTATTCCAAAATTGACCAAGTTTTCAATTGGCATTTGCAAACGATTTTGGTCCAAAAATAATCATCATGGAAGTGACTTCCATTTGTTGACCCCCTACTATGTCCTAGGCACCTGCTAGGAGCTGCCTGCATTACAGCTAATCCTCACAACAATCTTGCAAATAGTTGTTGCTATTTTCACTTCATAGGTGAGAAATACTTACATGATTTGCCAAGACCACATTAGTAATTAGAGGAGCCAGGAATAAAGTCAATTTTGTCTGACTGCAGAGCCCATTCTCTAATGCTCTACTGGACATATGGAACAATGTTCACAAATCTGATTTTGACCTGTGGCTTACTGAAGATTTCAGCTTATGCTTCTTTAGTAAGCTGTTAGAAAATAATATGGAGAAAGGAGTCAGTTTACAGGAATTTAGACTTGCTGGTAGTTTCATCTTTTTTTTTTTATTGAAAAAATTTTTTATTTCAAAGTATTAAGGGGATACAAATGTTTTGGGTTACATGGATCACTTTTGTATTGCTTGAGTCACAACTGTAAGTGTGCCTGTCACCCAGATAGTGTTCATTGTATCCGTTAGGTAAGTTTTTGCCCCTTCCCTGAGATTTTTTTTTTTAAAGTTCTAAAAACAGTAGACAATACTGTTCCATGGATTAGAATATTGTAAATGTTGGTACATGCTTGATAAATGGTAACAAGAATTATCAGTAAAGAGCACCTTCTGGAGTCCTTTCTGAAGGACTCAAGATGAAACTACCAAAATGTTAAATTACTGATAACGCTTGTTACCATTTATTGAGCATGTACCACATGCCAGACATACGCTAAATGCTTTATTTATATTATCTAATTTAATCATTACAACCACAACTCGAATATATATTATTATCCCCATTTTACAGGTAAGGGACCCAAGGCTTGGAAAGATTAATAAATTGTCCATGATCACTTAGCTAGCAAGCAGCAGTGCCAGATTTGAATCCACTTTGGTCCAAGTGCTTCCTTAGGTAAACATTTAACTATGGTGACTCTGAGTCCTAGATTGCCAGGCCAGGGCATCCCCTCAATTTAGTTGGCAGGCCTCCTGCAAATCCACCTGAGTTCAGCCCCATGATTGCCCACACCCTCTCTGTTCAGTTCCTAAAACCAGGATGTCTCCAGGTAACTTTCTCCAGAGAATAGAACCTTTGTGA